CGGTGCCCTGGCGGCCCCTCGCCGCCCTCTGCTCCCTGCATGCTGTAAAGCTCAGTCTGCTCAGGCCTTTCCCCGCTAACCGCGTCGGCTCTAGGCTTGCAGGGCCCGCCTCGTCCCACCCAGCCTTTGTCTGTGCCAGGGTATTGTCTACATTCACGGAGATGGTTTTCTTAAAGGGGAAGGCATCGATTTTGCAGCTATTTTATTTTTTCTGGACCCTACTTCTATGTTAAAATCTTTTGGGGACCAGGTGGTCAGTCAGTAACGTGTATTTGCTCTAGGGAGATTTGCTCCCAGCAAAAGCACCCGTGAGGGTAGTTACTGGATGCTAGATCTTGGTCGCTTGCTATCAAAATGTTGGATCGTTTTGCTTTTATGAAGTATCGGAAATCTAAATTCAATTCATAATGTCTGAGCCATCGCTAGTAGCTAAAACGTTGTTGATCTTCTGCCTAATCCTAGGTATATAAAAATGTATAAACCTGAGGTCTGTTAACACACATAAAAACCTAGAGCAATGCACAGAAATATGTAAGATGCAGTTTCCCCATTGTACTAGCTGCATGTGTGTCAGACACTCAAATGCAAGTCAGCTTTAGGAATCACTTAATGCTGACTACTGCTGTGCTTGAGATTAGTTCTGGATAGTCTCTGACATTGACAGAGAACTTTGTATCTGAGACCTTATGAATAATAACATTCTGGTATAGGTTCTTTGGGTTGCTGTTATCAAAGGAGCTTCCTGACTCATAATCCTCTCTGACTTCTGCTCCCTCCAGTCTTCTGATATTCCGGATAATGATGTTACCTGGGTAATGACATTCTTATACTCTCAGGAAGACTAGAAGAGGTGATAGGAGGTGTAACCATGAATGCCATAGTCCTATGGCTAGGAAATCCCATTAGTTTGGGGTTTCCGTATTCCTCACTTGTAAGTGAATACAGTAACATCATTCAGGATACATGTTTCCATGTGGTGATGGAGATGGAGCTTTTAATGAGACTTTTTAAAAATAAGCTTAATGAAGTTTCCTTCAGATATTCTTAGTGATCTGTATCTGCTCTCTGTTTATATTGAGAAGTTTCTGTGGACTGTAGATTTTGGATGTGCTTTGATACTTCCTAGTGAGCTGTAGCTGTTGAGAGAAGTGAGTCCATGCAGGATTACTCAGAATATTACTTTTATTCTTGTTTTGCAGATGAACACATACATTTAGAGATAAATTACAGGGTAAGACTGTGAATCTTTCTAATTCTCAAACAAGAAGCAACAATAAGGTAGCATTTTATGTTACCTTTTTTTTTCCTTTTCCAGGTTCTGATTCCCACTGCAGCAGGAGGCTGCTTTAGGCCTTTTTCCTTATTTGTTTTCAATAAAATGAAAATATTTATTTACTTTCCATGTGAGAGGTGCAGCAGCAGCTTTTAAGTACATCCAAGAACCTACAGTGATGTGCTTTATAAGTTGGAAGCTATGGCTCTATAGTTCATATGCATGTGTTAAAACAGGTAATCTTCCTACAGTCTTCCATTCTAGTATTTCTGAAAAATTCTCAGACTTTAGTTGCATCCTGTTGTGCAAGTAGAGCTGTTTAATATATCTGAGGAGTGGAGATTTGATTCCTTTAGCCAGGTACTTGGCTGGCCACAGTATTTTTCTCTGCCCTTGTGGCTTGTTATGCGTTACATTTTGGTCGTGCAATGGAACACGGCTAGGGGTGAGAATCCCAGGTGGACAGGATGGTCTTCCCCCTTTTAGGCTTTTGTTGTCAGCAGTTATAGTGTGTTTTATGTGGGAAGGCTGATGGGCCTGTTTTTACTTCAGATAGCTTTTCTGCACTTGTGTTTGGTGACCTGGTTGCAAGGGCACAGAACAGGCTGTATTTTGGCATTCTTCTACCCTTCAGTAATTTGGCTAGCGACAAAGATATCCAATACCTTCACGTGTGTTTGTATTTGTGAAAAAAATTAATTCATGTGCACTCCCAACAAATTCCTGCCTACAAGGGTTAATAATTTTTTTAAGGCATGAAGTGTTAGTTGAAAGTGTATGACGTGTTAGTTGAAAGTGTATGACCTGGAGGTGATGCTTAATATGTCAAATGTCACTATAGCCTGGCTGGCTTGATCTAAAAGGTCTGAATTCTACTGACAGAGCCTATAGTTCATGAGAGCAGGAGCTATTGCTGCATATATGGTTCGTTTCTGCCAGGCTGTCTATGCAGAGGAGCTGGAAACAAAAATTCCTACGAGGCCCCATGGGGTCAGGAGTCTCTTTTAGAAAGAGTATGTGCTTTTGTAATGGAGAGGAAGGTGGCCCAGAAATAGATAATGTATAAGAAGGGGCAAATCCAGTGAAAATGGGTGCAGAAGATCTGTGGCAGGATTGGATAGGTGTGGGGTGCTTAGGGGGCAAGAAGGGATTGGAGAGTTGGGGGAGTCTAGGTCAGTGTGTAGGGAGAAGGCAACTGAATGCAGGATTAAATGGAGTCACTGGTAAGATGTAGCACATGATTGGAAGTATAGGGAAAATTATATGTGAAAAGAGGCCTGGGGAAAGGCTGGTGACGGTCCAGGCCAGAGTGGGCAGGATGAAAATGATAATAGAACTGAGTGCAAAAGGAGAAATGTGCAGGACTGGGATAGTCATTAGGAGAAGGGAAATGATGGGGGTAGAAAGGTTTGGGAACCAATTGGGGATAGACGTTGATTTCCTCGGGGAAGCTCTGAAGTGCAGGGACAAATTCAGTGGCGGATGCAGAAGCTGCGCATTGCAAGATTTCTGTGCTGGAAAGAAATAACAGGCAATGCAGTGCTACCAACTCACTGGTCACCTTCCTGCAGATGTCCCAGGGATATATGTGCTGAACTTTGTCTCAAGGTGTCCCTAGAAGGATAGCCTTCCCAACCTGTCTTGCCCTTGAAATCTTACATAAAAGTAAACATCTCAGTCTGTATTGTCTGTCTTGCAGCTTCGTTTTATGTTTACGTACAGTATTTTTGTTGAACACTGTCCTAATTTTTTGGTTTTAGGAAATCTAAATACATCAAAGCATTACATGAACAGGAATGAGGTGCCATCCCATATGGTCTCTGGCTCGCTCCCTGTTTCTCTCCCCTGTCACGTGATCTGATCAAAAGCATCATGTCATGTGATTTTGGACATATTTCTGGATATATAACTGGGATTGGGAACAAATAAGGGGACATAGGCTCTGTGGCTTCTACAAGACATTATGATTCGTGGCCTGACTGAGAGGTTCCTCACTGTACTGTAGAGAGATACCCAGCCATGTAGCCTAGCGTTACCATATGATGCCATTCTTATTTCTAGTAATTTTCACACCCTTTTAATTCTCTGCCCTGATTTGATAAGCCTTTATGGACTGAGATCCAAGAGTCTCATTTCAGTCTCATTTAATCAAGAGAGTTATAGCCATCTGCTACCTGGTGTGAGGTTCCTGGTCATAATGTTCATGTGAATGACAGATAATTCTACTTTACTCTGAGATAATATCTGACCATGCTTGCTCTTGTGTATACCCGGGTGTCTGTGTTTGCAGTTTTCTTATGCGTTTATAAGACAAAGAGAGAAGTTGTTTCTGGGGTCTTAAAATCTTGGAAAACTGTGAAGTGCTCAATATTTGGCTGTTGTGTTGGAAACAAATACGTGATTATTTTGGAAGGTTATTGCTTCTTTGCTACCCGGCAGTGTTAGATAGCATGTCAATTATGTTACCTTAACAAAGGGAGTTTTGGGCATGATGTCTTTGTTTTGATATTTGGGTTATCCAGTACTTACCACTAGACTGCTTGGGAAGGAGACTTACTTTTTCACATTTGTAGCAAATGTGATATGATTTTGTCTTGGTACGTTACTGGCATTATTACATTGCTTTGAATTATTATTAAGAGATTTATCTATTAGGAATCCCTGCTGAGTGCCTTGGAGTCCTGTGGTGGAATACTAATGAACACTTACTTCCAGGAATAACTGTTAATCCTCGAATTTTGTTCAAGACATTTGCGTTATGTTTTGACGCTCTTATATTCCTAGATTTGACAAGCATTTTTTTAAAATCTGAGACAGGGAAATAACAGCACCACTCCCCAAGTTGCAGTGTTGTGATTCTAAAATGCTCTAAGCAATATTAGATTTTTATTTTGCTTGTCTTTTCTTTCTCTTCCCCCTTCCCCTGCCCCTCAGCCTTGAAGGATAAGGCTTTGTCTTTCTATTAATCTGGCAGCTAGGTTTTAATTTACTTATCACCAATTCAGTATGCAAATGCTGACAGATGTTTAACATTTGAACACTAGCAAATGCCACTACAGTTTCGTTTTTTGTCAGATTCATAGGCTTAGTCTTCCAAAGCACTAAGTATTACTGGAGAGTTGATTTGCATGGATTTAATATACTTAACACCTTGCAGGATTAAAGTTCTTTTTATATGGCTGTTAAAATATATATTCAAAAATGTTAGGCTTGCTATTTTAGGAAGAGCAGAAGCTATGCGTAATATTCTAAAAATGAAGCAATACGTCATATTAAATTATGGAGGAAAAACAAAGATCGCCTTTATGCCAGAAAACTGGAGAAATGCAGTGTTCAGCACCTGCGCTTTGGACAGCGACGTTCGAGGGACTAAAGAACTCTGTAATTCTTAATCCAATTAAAAATGTTACTATTATTCTTGTTATGCATGTCCAGATGCTGCAGTTGAGATCCTATGTAGGCCAGACTTGAGATCCTAATATTTTATGTAATATTATGTTTCAAAGCATCCCTGCTAACAATCTACATAACAATTAACATCCTTTGCTTGTATGGTGAAAATAACATCTAAGTTTAAATGTAAACACTGACCAAACGTGGTTTGTATCCAGAGGAATTATAATATATTTAGTATCCTGAGCAATAAAATAATTTTAACATGTCAGAATTAGAAATGAGTATGAAGTGTTTTAACATCAAGGAACTGAAACAGATGGAAAGAAACTCTTTGTCTCTGTATACGCTTTTTCTGTGGGTGCATATGGCAGCTTGCAATGTTCAGATATTACCTTTAGAATACAGTGAACTACATGATTTTTAGTGAAAGGAATCATGCTGAACTACAGCAGAAGAGTGAAGAGCAGATTATGACATTTTAAAGACATGTTGTTTATATAATTTTTAACATATGCCTTGAATTCACTGCGCAGACAAAACTTGACAGAAACAGGTTGAAATGTAGTCATTCAAACAAATGTAGTTGAAATCTTGTGTTATTTGAATTATTTTTTTCTTTCTGAACTAAATTAAAATCATGATCATTTATCTTTTCCCTCTTTGTTTCTAGGGGTTGATACCAAATTGAAATTCACTCTTGAGCCATCTTTAGGTCAGAATGGTTTTCAGCAGGTAATTTAATTCATTTTTCTCTGGACTTGAAAGACTGGGTTCTTTTCAATAAAGATACTTACCCTATTTCAAAAGTCCATTGCTCCACCATCATTTGTATATTATTTCTGATTACAGAAAGAGTTGTTCAGTTAGTATTTGGAAACTGCAATAGTCTTTCTTTGTATTCTAAGAAACCTCATAAGTCTTTGTATCCTAGAGTATTAAATTTTTATTATATCCTTAATTAATCTATATTTTTCCTGAAAATAGATTAAGCAATTAAAGTCTGAAATGTGGGCAGTGAAATGAAGTGAATGTCCATGTCTGAGGTGGTGTAGATTTTAACATGTTGTTGCATTGAGCTAATGGCATATTTTTACCCTTTTTGAATGTCTTTGCTTTTAGTGGCATGATGCACTCAAAGCAGTGGCCAGATTGCCAACAGGCATACCAAAAGAATGGCGGAGAAAGGTAGGTAGTTCTGTATATTTTGTGGTGCATGTCACCTTGTGGGTTTCTCACAAGAGGGAGAGAGATGAACACCATCAATATTACCAGTGTTTTTCAACAAATATTTTAGAGTTTTAAATTTAATTTGTACCGGGGATTCTTCACGGTTAGCATTCTTCAATGATCACCTCATAGGGCGGCTAGAGAGACCAAGGAGACAAGTAAAGATGATGTTTGCACCAGTGAGGTTCTTTCTGCCTGAGACTTAGGTAGTTTATTCCGGTGCAGATATTATTGCTTTATTCTGTCAGTCTCAAGAAATTGCACTGATGAAGCTGCCCAGCAGCTGAAGAGCAACTGAAAAGGAGAGCAAATCTCCAATGTAGACTGTCATACTTATGTAGGTGAAATTGAAAAATGCTAGTGCTGGCAAGAGTGTTCATAGAAAGTTTTGACAGAGAAAAGGCAGATTGCTTACACAGGAGAATTCAGGAGTGATATAGAGTGGTAGAAAGTGCCATTTATGTGAAATTATGCTGAGTTAGTGTTGTAGGAAAGGGTCTAGTGGGATTACACTAGTTTTACTTGATCGCTTGCTTTAACAATATTTGATGTTCCCTAGTATTAAAAAAAAAGGTGTATATATTTGTCTTTTGTAAAAACTAAATGGGAAATGTGATCTCAGTTTTAAAAATGCAGTTTTACTAAGATGAGGATTTTTTAAAGCTATATTAAATATATGTAGCTCAATATATTTTTGATGCCTTGGATCATTTTCCTTTCCTGTTTTCTTCTTGCTATCTTTCCAGCCTGAACTGTTCAGTCAGTTTACAAATTGGGGGAAAGAAATGGAAGAATTATAGGGGCTTCATTTTCTTCACACCACTGCCATTCTGTTTTTAATCTGCGACTCCAGTGAATCATTATATCCATTGAGCAGCCTTTTCCGTCCTGTAAAGTTTGCTTTCCATACTCCATAAGTCTCTCAGAAGTGCCCTTTCAATTTTTCTGTGGTGCATGAGTGGCAGATGTCTCTCCCCTCACTTGTCCTCCTCATCCAGCCCATCCCTATATGATTGCTCACACATGACCACATAACACTAACCAGGGGAACAGTGTTAAGAAAAAGGGATGAGGCCTTTTCACACTATTGCCTGGTTTCCCAGTCATTTGAAGATTGCCACCAGAATGAAGTATTTGATGTGTTGGCAGCATGGGTGATTTTCTGTTTTGCTAGCAACAGAAGGGGCAGGATGACATCTGCATTACAGCTGTGGCATGTAACATTTGTTCTCTGGGGCTGGCAGAAGTAAAGAATCCAGTGAAACAACATCACTAGGGTGACAGCAGCGCCAAAGGCTGTTTGGAGGCAGAGCACAGTGACATTCCCCTGCACAGGAGGCTTTGCGAAAGCGTAGGAAGGGATGTTTAAATGCAGGAAATCTGTGATTTTGTGAGCTGTCTATAAATTCCTTCAGCATGCAACTATCTAAGTGTTTATATCTGTGGGAAGTGTCTGAATCGCTTTCCTCACTTGAGCGGGTTAACAGCTAATATAAAACTTCTCCCACTTGCTTTCGTGATTTCTTTCAATTTCCTGAAGAGAGAAGTCCTTCACCACTGTTAGCTGTTGTCATTGTACGGTCTCTCATGTCTCTTTCATGATTCAAACGTTTAATGAAGGTCAAATTTTTAACTTGAATATGCATATGTAAATTTGTTTTGGTGATTATTAGGTAATCAAAATGTCTGTGTTCCAGACTACCTGTAGTGCCAACAGTTTAGTGCCAGCAGAGTAACTTACTCTGATATAAGTAGTACTTTGGGTGGACACCACCTACCTCTTCTGCAATGTTGAACAGAAGAGACCTGTGGGAGAAAGAAGCACTACTGGATTTCTCTTGTGGATTTTCCAGGAGATGGATCCATGGTAGAGTTTGAGGAAAACCTTGGCGGGGCGGGTGTATTACCTTTTTATAAAACTCTTTTCTGGTTATGAGGTTAGAAGGGTTAGAAGGGCTGACCTGGCCAGGAGGATGGATGACAATCTTGGAGGGCCAATGTGAATTCATTTTCTGACAATGGACTTGCATCTTTCTAAGAAGTTCACAGTTCACTTAATGCTGACTGTTTCCTTCACTTCTGTTTTAGGGAGCAAGATATGACTTTTATTGTTCAGAATTTTTTTAAATATAATTCTCTTTTGCGTAATTCAAGTCTAGGAGCAGACCACATATGGCTAGAGCTGTTGAGGTTCATCTAATCGTACATATAAACTGCTCATATTCTACCTGAGAAATAATGTGTTTTGTTGACTTGCTTTGTATGTTTCTAGGTTTGGCTGACCCTAGCTGATCAATACTTACACAGTATAGCCATTGACTGGGATAAAACAATGCGTTTCACATTCAATGAAAGAAGTAATCCTGATGATGACTCCATGGGCATCCAGATAGTAAAGGTAGTTAACTAATTTTTTTTTTTTTTATGAAAAGTGAAGATTTTTTTGAAGAAACATAGTTTGGATTTATTTTTCTCTCTGCTTCTGCATTGGCACAAATTATAGCTTAATTTTCCTTGGCCCACCAATATTATTTCTTCTGCTTTTTTAGTCCTCCTTCTGCATTCATCTGGTGGGTGTTTACTGAAAAAAAATGCTATTCCTAGAAAACTTTTGCCCAATTTTTCTGGATACAAAGGTACATAAGAGTTCTTCCTCTTCTCTGTATTTTATAAATAAATGCAAATATTTGCTGGGATTAAAAAGTATTATAATATAGTTACTGAGCATATTTTCAGTTATTTTACAGTAGTGAAACATCTTTGTCTATGTATTTTTCTCAACTGACCGCCATTTTATGTTTATAGTGATGGCCCCTTTTGGGGAAGAGCTTAACAGATTCGTATTGTGGTGTGCCTTCAATCTTGGCCTATTTACGTAGGAGAGATTGTTTATGTTCGGTAGTCACTGTAATTAGAGTACACAGAGGAAAGTACTTTGTGGTCCTGGTTATTACAATTGTCACCAGTACTTGGCAATTTCAGGCTATAGATATTACTCATGAGATAATAAAAACTGTAGTACGTGTTTTGCCTTTCACTCACAAATCTCTTAAAATCTCCTGAATATCATTTTTGGTTTTTTTCTTATGCTTTGAAACCTTAGTAACCTGGTAGTTCTTTTATGCTTTGATACAAACAGTTGCTCTTTTTCATTTGGTCATCTTAAAAGAAGCGTTTTGTCTGTATTCTTTTTCTAACACAAATTGCCACTTCAAAGAATGCAATGGTAATATCAAGCATGTTTCAGTCAAAAACTGAAAAAATGGTTTTTAAAACAAAGTTTTGGAGAGGATGGTCATTGGCAAATGCTTACTAGAAATTCTGTATCTAGCTTCACACCTTGAAATTGCTGCTGTTAATGTCAGTTGCATATGAGCATCCGCTCTAATCCTTCATTCCATGTTGTGCAATGTTAACAAATAATGATATTCTGCTGACACAGCTCATGTTGTAATGGTTGTCCCATGCAATGAAAGTGATTTGGAAACAGAAAAATTCTTCCCTTAGGCTTCTGTTTAAGATATGCAGAATACATTTTTCTGAAGCCTGACTTCTGAAAATCTATAAAATGCAGAGAAAACAGCATTCTGTGGAGGAAGATTTTTAAAAAGAAATATGCGGCTCTTATGTTTTTGCCTCTTTGAAGTATAGATATCTTCTAATGTCTTCTGTGGCAACTTCATATGAACATCTTTTAGGTAACTTGTTTGTTTAATACCTTGCTCAACCTATTTCACTTCTTCAGGAAGCTAAAGGTTTTCAAATGAAAAAAAAACATTCTCATCAACTTTGGCAGTACCTGTTGGAAGGGTGGAGGGGGAAGGAAAGCTGAGATAGGCAGGAGAGCTAAAGGGGAAAGGCAAATGCATATCTTTTTCTTTTTCTTTTTCTTTTCTTTTCTGCTTTTTTCTTCTTCTTTGAAGGACCTTCACCGAACTGGTTGCAGTTCTTACTGTGGCCAGGAGGCAGAGCAAGATCGAGTGGTATTGAAAAGAGTTCTGCTGGCTTATGCCAGATGGAATAAATCTGTTGGCTATTGTCAAGGTTTTAACATACTAGCTGCACTCATTCTGGAAGTAATGGAGGGCAATGAAGGGGATGCCCTGAAAGTGAGTAAAATTTTTTGGTTGTATTATTAAGAATTGCTTTTAGTTAGTGAATTTTAGAATAAACCAATGCATGGATTTGTAGGCAGCTTAAAGGAGCAGGACTCAAAGGGATATGCGGGTTCATATCTATGGATTGTTTGTTATCCTGTTTAAGCTAAAGTAGACAGTTTGAATATTATAACTGTTAACATTTAAATCAGTAAGAAGTGGAGCTTGACTTTAAAAAAAAAAAATGAGAACACACCTACTGACTTTGAAAGAGGTCATCCCATAACGCCCATACTTCCCCAAAACTGCATAGGCAGCTCCAGTTTGATTAACAGCTTCTGTGAGGCAGCTAAAAATCTGCTGCATTTTTAAGCAAATTGCTAGGAGAACACAAGGTAAATATGATTTAAAATGGGAATAAATAGCTTTGAGGGTACTGTCTGAGCTACATTATTCATTCCAGTGTTGATTTCTTAGACATTTTCTGTTCCAATTAAAAAGAGTCTTCATAAACTTTGTATGTCACGAAATTGAAGTCCAGCTTAATAGATGAATACAGGACATGGTTTAAGGCTTGCCAAAGTCATGTGCAAGTTTCCTTAAATAAACTTGCTCATACATGTGAGTTGGGGTCAAATTAATAGAAGATGAGTGTGGCTTTTGAGATACTGAGTTATTTCTTTTGCCTTAGACAGTGTTAAGTATGCTAAATACTTAAGTTCATTCAGAGCTCCTAAAATATAAAGCTTTTGGAAGTGCAGTCCAGCTAGTAGGTATATAATACTTCATTCTACAGAGCTACCTATAATAGTAAGAAAATACTACAATATGCCTACTTTATATCATAGAGGAAATTTCCTTTGAATAATTCTTGCTAAAAATTTCATCAGTGTTTTCAACTATAATCATATCATATTTTATTGTAATCGTGTACTGTCCAGAACCTCCTGAGACATATTGTGATGGTACAGGAAATCTGACTGTGTAAAGTTTACGAAGTCCAAACTAATTATAAGAAACGTGGGCATCCTTATATGTTAGGGTTGTCTTTTATTGTAGTGTACTATGGAGATACTATGGAAACAATGGAATAGCACCAGCATGCCCAGTTCTGGAGAGGTATATCAGTGAAGGCTGTTAGCACCAAAATGAATCCTAGCTGGCAAAAATGTCAATCCAAAATAAAGTCATTTTTTTCCAACCTTAGTGCGTGAGTTGGATTGAGCTTCGAAGGGTTTGAATTTCCCCAGAAGCGCAAAAAAAAAAAAAAAAAAAAAAGGAGGGGGCAGTGGAATTGGGAATTGGAAGTTCGCACCACTTTGAACCTGAGAGATACAAATGATCTTAGAGACGAAGAATGTCAAGGCAAGAGAGGAATGAAGGAACAGGCTTTTGTCATTTTTTGTGTCATTTTCAACTTCAGGGCAAGCTAAGGAAGAAAGATACTGGTTTGCAAGGAGGGATGAGAGAGAAAGAGGGGTTTTGAGCGGTTTCTGGAGTCACCGAGGGCTGAAGAACCCTCTGGAGTGCTGAGGTGGGAGGCACATAGGGGTGTTCTGTTACTGTAGTCACTGCATTTGTCTAAAGCAAGCGATGAGTGACTTTATAAAAGCTGCAGAGTCTGTTGCCTGTAAAGCTGCAAGCCAGAGTCCCCTCAGGACTGGAGCAATGGGGAAAACTATGCTTAGGTTATTGCAGAGTCTGGGAGTTGGGCGTAATTCACTGGGAAATCGATTTCAGTCATTAATGGTCCATAAAGTCCAAACAGCTTCAAGAAGCTGTCTTACCTTCTGTGCCTTGATGGTTTGTGGATACCTGGATTGCCTGTGGATGCTTAAAATGATATTGCTTTTCCCAGGGCTCAGAGTCCACGTAAATGGAGACACCAGAGGCATGTGTCACCACTGGCTCAAAGCCATAGTTCAGTAACAGAGGATTTTAGGATTATATACAGGTTTTTTTCCCCCATTATTCCTAGAAAATAACAGGCATTGTTAAGTCCTACACTTATGCTTACCTTTCTTACAGATCATGATTTACCTAATTGATAAAGTACTTCCTGATAGCTACTTTGTCAATAATCTCCGGGCTCTGTCTGTGGATATGGCTGTTTTCCGAGATCTTTTAAGAATGAAACTTCCTGAACTGTCCCAGCACTTAGACACCCTGCAAAGAGCTGCTAACAGAGAAAGTGGAGGTCGGTTCAACAGATAATGCTATTAAATTCCTTCTTGCTATTGTTTCATTTCAACAGCAGTCTAAAAATACAATATTTTAAATATTTACATAAGTACGTAGCTTGGAATATATATTTTAAATTGTTAAAAGTGAAAGAAGACTGTTTCCGTTATTGATAAGCTTAACAAATTGGCAGCACTCTCAGGAAAAATAAATAGGGAGACTCTTTGGTTCAACAGTTGACTGCAAACAGAATTTTGTTGACAAGGACATAAAACACGGAGTGACAGCACCATAACAAAGCTTAGTACAAGGGCTACCTTGCAAGGGATGCTTCTTGGCTTAGCTCGAGTTATCTGCCTAGCTGCTTGCTGCTTGTAGTTGCTAGAACCTACGTAGTTGTGTTGGGAAGAGTTACAATGTGAGAGTGAATGCTGACTGGTTTTTATTTCTTCACCTGGATGCCTAGCAATACACAGATACCAACCAGCACTTCCTGTGTTGCTACCTGAAAGCTGGCTTTGCACTTTGCATTTCAGGATTTCAGCATTTCTTCCAGACTTAATTGTTTAACAAGATACAGCTGAGGTTTTTTGAGGGGGGAGATTGTGTTGTTTTTGTTTTGGTTTGGTTTGGTTTGTTTTTTTTCAGTCTGGAAGTTAAATGCACCCTGAGTTTCATCTTAGAAAAGATCTACTACCATATTGGAGTAGTAAATAAAGAATCTCCTAACTGTTCTCAATCAATCTGTGTGAAAGCAAAAGGCATCAAGTAAGCATTTGCTGTTAGAAAGCCTTTTTGCAGGCAGCAGCCTCTTTGGGTCACGGTCTTCTAGCCATCAGTTGGCACTCGGATGCGTAAAGCACTCTGAGCATAACAAGAATGTAGTATTTCAGGTTTTCAGGCTGAAATAATAAATCTTGTCTGAAACTATTAGAAAGCCTACTGCTTTACATTGCAGAAAACTGAATATGTTACAGCCACTTCTGCTAGGTTGGCAGAAGCTCAGCAAAGACAGTATATTGAGATTTTAATACAATAGATAAGACTTGACAGGACAGTCACCTTCATGCAGCTAAAGACTTTTTTCTTCCCATTAGCTTCTGCAGAAAAACAGCTTTTTTTTTTAAAAAAAAAAAAAAAAGCTTTTAGCTCTTGTGGCTTTGGGGAAGGAAAAACAATCTTTCCAATACAAAAATGTGTGACAGTGTTTTCCAGAGTTAACAGACATCTCCACTCCCAACGCTGCTGCTTAGAGCTTTCTGCAGTGCAGCAGAATGAAAGCTGACTCGGTATGTCACTTTTTCCATTGCTCTTGTTCTCAGCTCCTCTTTGGACAGCTGCAGCCTGAAAAGGCTTTGAGCAATAACAGAGGTGCTAGAATGACTGGTAGATTTTGGCATGTAGAACTGCATCAGTTTATACTCCTTGTAAAATAACAGTAAGATCCGAATGACTTTAAGGATTTTTTTTTTTCAGGAGGCTATGAACCCCCACTTACAAACGTCTTCACAATGCAATGGTTTCTAACCCTCTTTGCCACTTGCCTGCCTAACCATACAGTTCTGAAGATCTGGGATTCAGTATTCTTTGAGGGCTCTGAAATTATACTGAGAGTAGCCCTGGCTATCTGGGCAAAGTTGGGAGAGTAAGTGATCATTTTTATCTGATTTTCTTTTTAATATGAGTAATGTATATAACTTATATGTTGTTCTGAAGAGCATGTTTTCAATTCTAAACAAGATGTGGTCTTTCAGGAGAATATTTCTGCTTTGAAAAAGCTGTATGAAGTGTCTCTACGGTGTCTTGAAAAACATGTACTGGAGAACATCGTGATTGCAGAAAGATGGGCTTGATAATAAATTGACCCTTCAGCAAATGTCTCCAGTTATTTGCATTGTCTGTGCATAATGTCTTCATGCTATGCTAAAATACTGATTAGACTTTCAAGTACAGAGAACTCTGATGGAGATAGTAAATACTCTCTGGCAAGAAATTCAGAAAGGCTTGAGGGTGACTGGCTGGCTTATTTGGGTACCTGAAGCTAGGGATGTTATTTCCCTTATTTTCATCTTCCAGGCAGAGGGACTTAAGGATTTGAGCCCACTGGCTCTATCTGATAAAAGAGTTAAATGTTATTAAAAGAATGATTTAGTATTTCATGCTTATTTTCTGTTAAGTTCTACTAACAAGTTTTCCTGAAATTCTCTGCTTCTAAGCAATGTTCTAGCCAACTTTCTATTAAAATCTTTTATGGCTTCAGAAACCTGCTACACATGACAAAAGATAAGAGATTATTAGTTCTTCTTAACTGTCTCTGTTGTCATAGCAAATATTTGCTTTCCAAAAAGAGTGAACAGTCTTCCTGGAGAAATAAGAATTTTGTCACAGACTTCAGTCGGAAGTGTGGGCTTTTACAGGCCAAGCAGTTGTTAAAGTTCAGCTGGAAACTTTTTTCAGTTGACATCAGCAACTACCTCAAATTTTTCTTGTGACACCTACTAATGCTCACCTTCCTTTTTTTTTTTTTCCTGAGACTGAACTACTGGGAGTTTACATTCAGATCTGTCCTTGAAGGTTTCTTTTCTTTTTTCTTTCAGAATAATTTAGCAGCACAGGCCAGTAACATTTCGGGAGACTCATTTAGTATATTTGATTTTTAATCTGAAGAATAATAATTAGAATAATAATTGCTTAAGACCTTTATTTCTTCAATTAATGAAATAAACTTTCATGAATCATTTACATTAGGATTAAGCTAGATGTAATCCCATTGTGTGTTAGCACTTTATGCTATGCTCTAGATAAAACGTCCTATTGCACTGAATCTCTGTGCAATGATAAGCTGAAATTATAAATGTTCTGACTCATAATATGATAAAACCGAAAGTCACTGCTTTGAAGAATTTACTGTAAAATCTAATCAGGACAAAAATAAAGCATATGGATTACAAAAATTGGGAGGATCAGAGTGAGGAAATCATCTATAAGAATATGACCACGTGAGCAAGCTAATCACATTGCATACCTCCATAATTATTATATGGGAGGAGCGGGAGATGATGTGGCTTCAGGACAGATTTGGGGATGCTTAACAGAAATCGACAGTGGTGTGATGACCAGAGATGCAGAAGAAGACAGGTCACAAAAACTGAACAAGGATTGAAATTCAGTAGGTTCGTGGTTAATGTTATCACATGAGATGAGGAAGTGAAAGAAGACTAGGCACTATGTTTTTGCTGGGAGGAGATTGTGATTTCATTTAGTTCTCCTCCACTAAATGCTGTAGTAGTACAGGAGGGATTTAGAGAAGTGAAACCTGAGACAACGATCAGTCTCATGATCTTCATACTTTTCATAAATATCTTTCTAGACATGAAAAAGGGGTGAGAGGTGCTTTTCTTAAAATGTGGGAGGTTCTGTTATGCTTGTGTTTTGAGTTTTTTTAGGGGCAGGTTAAAAATAGGGGCGTTGCAAAAGTGAAATGGGAGTTCATAAGACACTAAAAGTATTTGGGAAGATAAGCAGTAAATTTCCATGATAATTGGCAATATACCCATTACATTTTTTTTCACTGCTCGATCATTCTTTTAGCTAAAGTATGTTAGGGTTTCAGTAGTAGCTCCAAAGTTCAATGGTAGTTTCCTAACTACCATTTAGGTAGGTTGGTAGTATTCTACTTAAGGTAGATCAAGAGATATTTTGTCTCCTAATCCTTAAGGAAAAAGGCAGTGTACTTTTTTTGGTCATTCCAGCAGCTGTAATTTTACAGTAGGAGGCTACAATATGTTCAGTTCTTTGAGTGGTCCAGGTCACAAATAGGTAATACAAAGGATCTGTAAGAACAAGTGTGTTTTAGTTTTAGGAATACCTCCTGTAATTCATGTGTGCAGTAGCATAGGAAGAAAAATAGCAAGGGTCAAAACCATAAAGATTCCTGTAGCCAGAAGTGGATTCTTGTACAACGTGATTGTACACAGTCAGGAAGAAACCTAGAGCTGCTTGCTGAGTGAAAGAAGAAAGTCTTCCTGATAGAAAGATCAAAGGACTGCCTTTCACGGTAGAGTGTATTTTGAGGAAACTCAACTGTAATACATAGTGGTGTCACCTGGGGAACGGGAGTTGGAGCAGCAGATATTCAATGGCAGTATTATCCAGATGGAGATTGCCTCAAGTTAGTGCATTTTGGGCCTGGCCATGGCAGAGAAATCCTGTTCTGCTGCAAGCAGCTGTTCAACTGAAAATCATGGTCATCTTTTCATAGTTAGGCAGTCTCAGGACACTGCGTCCTACTTTCCCCAGTGTACTAGGAGCAATGGGAAAAATGCCATTAGTGAATCCTGTAAATCCTGATTTTACAGACTAGAGGTAGCTCTGTGTGCTGGAGGTTTTCCTGTATTTACCTGATTTCTTCAGCAGTGTTTCTGGATGTTTTCATGTTACCAGACTGAAATTGGTGGCATGGAGACTTAAAGTCCAAAACTTTAAGATACTATATGCCAAAGGCCATGAAAAAATTCTGTGTCCACCTTTACACCTGTTGGGATTGTGGTGGTGTTCTCAATTTGTTTATTTTTCTTCAAGTCAGCTACCTGGACAGAATCACTGCTGTCTTAAGGAACAGAGAGCAATTTTAGAGCTCCTTTTTTAAGTAGCTGTTAGTGTGATGCCTCTCTGTTCTGGTGAAGTCTAGAGAAGAAAAGCAATTTACTTTTCCAGCCTATATTTTTCTTTTTCGCAAGTCAGGTTCCTAGGCTTACATTTTAGACCAAAAGCTAATGGCAAAATGGATCTCAAGCCCTGTCTTACAAACAAGACATTTCATTTGAAATTCCTGAGTTAAAGCTTAGATGAAGTTTAGATTAATAATAGGTCATTCAATAAATTTCCTCAAAACAATGATTTCAGCCAAAGTGATTCCTGAACTACGATTTTTTCCAATGGAAGATCCATCCTAGTAGATCTTTCTAGAACTATTAGAGCTAGATTTCCTGCCAAAGAATGTATGCTCCTTTCCTTTAAGGATATTTTTAGGAAGGAAAAATTAATTTATGTATAGCTTTAAGACACCCAAACCACATTAAGAAAATGTGGATTACTTTAATTTATTCTAGATTTATTGCAAAGTTGTAGGTTAGTCTTTTTAAGCCTATAAACATCTAATCCACAGAATGAGGATAATAATATTTATTTTCCCCTTGAAGGTGCTGTAAAGTTAAATGAATATTTGCAAAATATATTGGTATATTAGAGTGGAAGTTGTTGTAAGTGCAAAGAAATTATTAATTTTAACTAGCTGATCAGTGGTTTATTACTCTTTTTTGCTTCCTCGTCTCTATCTTTAATTGGTTTTGTTATTTGAAGGTCAGACAAAGGTTCTCAGAAAAACTGGTGGGAATAAGATTAATTTTTATTCTGAGAGATCTGAAGAAGGGAGCCTTAAGTTCAAAAGCTTTTCTAATTGGATCAGGCCAGTGTATCCTTTGATCAAGCTCTGACACAATGGCTTATAATATATACAGCTGAACTGACCAACTCGTAGGCACGTATGTACAAAAGAGCAGCCCAGTCTTGTTTTTCGCATGTCTGTGCAAGATGTTGTAGTCTTGATTTGGCAAGAGACGCTTATTGCACTGAATCCTGTGTGATGACACAAGGCTTTAAAGCTCAGACTAATTTTTAGTATTTCTGAGGTGATAGATTTCTCTTCTGGCCAGCATTACACTTGATTGGGACTGAAGTAAAACAAATTTTTCCTTTCATGGGAGAGGATGTTTACTGACTGACCTAAGGTGTGTCCCACAGCCGGTCACAAAAGCCTATTACTCATTCTGCTCTTCCTTTAGCTGACACACTGTGAGCGATTTTATGTTTTCAGAAACGTAAACAAACGTAAAAAATGCTTGGATCTCTCAAAATAAAGACAATTTGGAAACAGTGTTCATAGGTGTGCAGGATATGAGAGAATTTTCCTATATTCTGTGTTACGTGAGCACAATTCTATTGAATACAATTATATATATATATATGTACACATATTAATTTTCTCCACTGGAATGTTTCTTGGCCAAACAAAATGTTCCTATTTGGCAGAAAGGCAATTCAGCCAGTGAAATCAGCTAGCTGGTGCCCAGTGAGGGACGCGTGGTGAGGCAATCAATAAATCCTTATACTTCTTTTTTTGAGCTGATGGGAAAACTCCCTTTTATTAGTAGGAGGCAAGATTTATCAGTTCTCAAGTTGTAGAAGTGAAAGGAGCAGGATGAAGAACTTGGCCGTACATGCATGAATCCTTTATCATGGGCAGTCAGGCCAGTAAGTTGTACTCAGTCCATTCTTTTACTGCATCAGTATTTCTAATATGATGTGCATGATTTTATTATTTGAAATCATGGGCAGGATTGCAGTGAACAGTGAAGTGCGTATTTTATGACTGCAGAAAGTTCAAATTTGGTTTGGAAGTGTATAATCATATGTAAAAATAAAACAAAAACCTAACATGTATTTTGATGTAGGCAAATAGAGTGTTGTGAAACCGCAGATGAGTTTTACAGTACCATGGGCAAGCTGACCCAGGAGATGCTGGAAGACAGTCTAATTGACAGCAATGAACTCATGCAGGTGAGTAAATGTGATAATAATTATTGTTTATGTATTCTGTGCATTCTTTGGACACTGATTTCTAAAGAAGTATGCTTTTTATTCAGGTACTGCAGAAACCTAAACTCTCCCAAGAATAAAAAATAAGGTAACTAGGTTAAACTAACATGTCAGTGGAACGAATAGATGACCTGCAATTAAAGCTGAAATCTTATCTTATACATGAAGCGTAGAAAACTGCTAGGCTCCATTTGATAAAAACTGGATGCCATACTGACAGCTGAAAGTTTGTTGTGATATAGTGCCCAACTGGCGTTACTTAAAATATGACTAGTAAAAGATTCTGCCTCTTATTTGTAGGGTGTTCTTTTGTTTTCTTTTGTTTTTTTTTTTTTTGCTAGTTATTCATTACAGAGTGTCCTTTTCATTCTGCAGACACTGTGGGAGGCTAGAGTTTATCAACTGTAAAGGGAAAAAACCCTTCATGAATTAAAAGAAAGCCATGAACAGTCGTCAGTGAACTATAAACAAAGACATTTGTAGATAATTGCACTCACTGGATTCTTAAAGCTTACGTCATTGTGTAAGAACAAAGATTACATTGTTCTGGGAAAAAGGACTTTTAGTGTTGCAGAGCTATGTTATTGATTTACGCATGCATTTTTTTTCTAATATCCTTGAGGTGTTGTCTACTTAGGTGATTAGTGAAGACTTCATGCTACACTCCTGGAATTTTATTTTCGATGAGTTAGAGTATGGTGATTAAGTGGGTGAAAATACAGAAGCAAATAATTCACCTGAAATTTTTGACCTGCCTTAAGGGGACAAAAAAAATTCTGGTCTCAGAATATGAAGTTGGATGTGTCTATTATAATAGTTGGCAAGTGAGCTGTGTTACTCTAAGTGGTGTACCCATTACTGAAAGCAATATGTGTTGGCTGTCTGGGATAATACACTTCCATAGTCTGATGAAATATTGCCCTAAAGTAAAGGATTGCTTTCAGAATTTTTTTGGGGGGGAGGGAGGGTTGTCTAATGAGAGAGTTCTAGGGATAGGAGAGGTCAGCAAGGTGGCTTTGTTTTCCTTTGAAATGCAGCTGGTCAGAGGCACCCACATGCTTTTGAAGTGGATGTTATGGTTCCTCACAAGATAGTTTAGATGTTGAGGAAGTGTGAGGAGGGCAGCACAAGCTGATGCCTTCTCATATGCATTATATTTCTGTTCCTGGCCTCAAGTGCAATACGAAAGCAAGATGTGGCATTTGTCACAAGAAATAATATCGGGAAAGCTGAAGTGTGCTTAAGTGATTGAGTGCTGGATTTCCTTCTTCCCTGTTGTGTATAATGGAAGATGAATCGTAGGTAGCTTACAGACTGCAGGGCTGGAAGGATTCTTTCTGAACTGTTGCAACTATTATATATGAATATAATAACTTAGCAGTCTTTCTGTGCTTCAGCAAAAACCGAGAAACACTTAGTGCAAAGTATATGTGTATTCATGTTGTACATGTGTACTGTGTGCCACTTATAGGAGTGTTAGGGTAGGATGTCACTGGCACTGGTATGGAGGTGGTGTAGTAGATATAAAGTTTTTTTGCAAAGTAGAAGGATGTGTCTGTTTTCCATGTGTCTGCTCAGTCAAAGAAACCACCCAATAGTTGAGAGAGCATTCATCAGGTAAAAGGCAGGCACTGGCAGTGTAGCCATCTCCATCCGAGCTGCTCACTGTAGACTCCCTTTACCCTCAGTGAAGAGAATTAGGCAATGTAGGTGTTGGCCATGAGGGGAGATGAATCCCTCCCCATGTCCCTGGCTGAATTTGAACTATTTGCTCTCTGTGTTGGAGAAAAAAAATAGAGAAACGTGAAACAGTGCATTAACAAAAGGATCCAGGCTGCTTGAAAGCATCATTTTTATATATTGTTTTAAGCTTTTCCAGAGGAATCAGCCAGAGATTAATGTTTAGGCTGCTTTGTTTTCAAAATGTTCCTTTTTTTTTTTTTCAAAATCAATAGAGCAGGGTACTCATGCCTGATTCCTTTTTTCCAAGGTGGCTCAACTGTAGGAAAGGGTTAATATCCTAGTTTGCCTTTCCCACACATATTGGTGAAGTGGTCGCGGTCATCTCACTTTTCTTTAGAGTGGCATGACAGTGATATTTACATCTGAGCTACCTGTGTCTTCACTTAAGACAGTGAATAGTTACAGGCACTTCTAGGCCACCAGGAAACAAATTGTGCTCTAAAAGGCCTGTTTCTTTTGATGGGAGTTAGAGGGGGCTTGGCCCATGCCTCAGGAGCAAGTGTTGATAGGACAGACGTCTAAATTAGATCAAAGGAACTCTTGCCCTCGTTCTCTTCACCAGCATGTATGCTTGGTACACGTTCATCATTTAAAAACTCTTCTTTTCTTAAAGAGTCTTAAAAACTCTAAAACTCTGGAGGGCTTAAAGCTTTTGCAAATTTGGCCCTTAAATGGCAAGAGTTCTTATAAAGTTATGCTGAGGAGAACATGGAGGGATTGGAGGAGCAAGGCAACAGCTTCACCCCTTTTTCAGATTAAATAATTAAGGTAAATAAGGGTTAGTGCTGTACACTTCAGATGCTAGGCCGAGTATGCGTTCAGGACTAGAAGCTAAACAAATACGGTATTCAGTAAGGTTATTTTATTGGCCTTTTAATAAACCCCTTTGGTTTTAACGTGGAGACAGAAGGCTGTACGCCAGGTGTCCACAGATATTCTCAACACTCTGTGCTGGTTTATGAGTACATGCTTTCGTGCCTTCTCAGAAAGCAAGCATTTTTATAAGCAACTAAATTAGTTCAGTTTGTACACTAAAAAACATCCGAATGTGAAGGAGATGAGAAGAAAACAGGAAAAGGAGAGGAATCCCTGTGTGTTTACTGTGGTGGAGAGGAATAGGGATTAATACCTCTCTGTTATCGTAACATTTTTAGACTGTCTCATGTAGACACTATTATCCTGATTTGAGTGTATTCGTCATTAACTTTTTTGGAGGAGGGAGGGAGATTGTTTTGTTTGTTTTTTGTTTTGATTTTCCTAGTGAAAAGAGAGATAGAAAAGCTCTCAACCAGTGTGGGACTGCAGTTGAGCGAAGTGTTTGTGAGCTATCTGGAAAAGCAAAATTGCTTACCCTCTTTTGGAAGTCCTAGCCCATCACTTTTGTAGAGTATTTTGCTGAGGGCATAAATGGCTTTGCATTTTCAGAGTAAGGCAGAAGATTGACAAATAGCTATTTACTTAAGGTCAGAACAGAGGCTTTTTTGGTTTTGTTTTTAATGTTTCCAGAATCTGTCCCTTATGGCCATAAATAAGTGAATGAGTTTGGCTGTATCAGGCTTACTATTTGTAGGTCTTCCCCACTAGCACGGTTTCACCAAAATTAACCAAGTGGTATCCAAAGCCACATACAAACTGGGAACAAGATTCTTAGACTCTGAAACATTGCTGAAAGGAGGAAATCACAGGTGTCGATTGTCATAATTTTTGACTTTTCAGTGGAACTTGCACCAGGATAAATTTTTTTTGTGGGTCTCTTAGCCAGATGGCAAGTGCAAGCCTTTAGCTTAATCTGATAACAAGTAATTAAGTTAAAAGTGTGTACACTAAATAGAAGAAATTGCACAGGATCTGGAAAAGACACAGATTGGAGACATGCAAAAGCTGAAAGCATAATCTAAACCAGTAGGTGCAAGGAGTAAAAGGAGGACTCCAGGTTGACTGTTTCACATAAAGGGTTACTAGCATATGGAACAAGTTACCTGGAAAGGCTGTTGACATAAAGAGTAGAAATAAGTACCAGACACACCTCTGCTCCATGAAGGGGGAAAGTTGAGACATATGGCAAAAAAACAGGAAAGTGTGATGGAGATCAAACAAACAGGCAGACATGTTGGGCCGGAGGTGGGTCTTTCTTCAGATCATAAAATTCCTTGGTCTGGTAAACTGCCAGGATATCACTGTTCAGGCCCCAGAGAATATTTGTCTTTCACAGCAGCATTGTAGTTTCATGGAGAGATGAAGCTTCAGTGCATGCTCTGGGTTTCTGAAGGCATTCTCCCTGCCTTACAGTCTGTGCATACCTCAAGGTATAAAAGCTTTTTCATGCAGAAACCTATTCAGCTGTGCTGTTGCCCTGTGCCTGCTCCAGCCGGGAATGTTCCTCCTGCTCCTAATTGCCTGCATCATTGCAACTGAGAAGCATTTCTTTTCTCCTCCTGTCAGGAAGGGTCCAGCACTGACTCCGTTTTTGTGACTTTCTTAGTGTGCTTAGCCCAGACAAGGCACTGCTCGTGAACGGATTATGTAGAAATTGTTCAGAATTTCCTTTCATCTTAATTGAGACCATTTGCCTTCAAATGAAAATGTCACGGACTTTATAGCACAAGAAAAAAGATTTCCTGTCACAGCTAATGAGAAATGTTTAAGTTGCTGTCTTTCAGAAGACATTTAATTTTCAAAATAGGGGAAAAGCTATGATTTTCAAAGAAGCTCTGAGAAGCTGTTTCAGCTATTTTTTCTTTTTCCTTTTGGCATCAAGACTCCAAATGAACTGTGTGTCAATTTTTTGAAAGTCCTGAATAGTTGTAAGTGTGAAAACAGGAAAAGAAGTCTAGTAAATTTGTAGGAAGAAATCAGCAATGGTATTGCCATGAATATGATGTGTCTTTATGCTAGGTCAGCTGGTGATACACATTCCATTATTACAAAATGACTTAAAGCAAAAATAATGCTAAAGTAAATGCATTTGCAACTATTTGTCTTCTCTGTCTCTGGGTGCTGAAATAAATAAAATATATTAAAGTCTTTTTTTTTTTTGATTAGTCTGGTTTTATGTTCTAAGGACTGCTGTGTTGAATTCAGAGTACTGCAGAGAGGTTTCTTTATTCATCATAGAACAAGTCTTTGTGTTTTTTTATTATTTTCCTTTAAACTGTGAGAGGAGAAAAGTTAGGTGGATAATGTAAAGTCCTTCCTGTTTGACTATAGCTTTTGTGCTGAGGAAGTGATTTCCATCACAGAAACTCTTGGGGCTCAGCTGGCATAATGCTATTGGTTTTAATAGATCAGTAGCAGTCTACATCAAGTGAGGATCTGCTCCGCTATTTCTGATAATGTCAGTATCTTGTTGAGCACTTGGGCAGAAAAGTAGGTCTTCTGGAAGATTCCAGAAAACTCAGTAATGCCTTCGTATAAGTAAAATCGTAACTGGAGGAGGAGGGTTTGCAGAGTGCTGGCAAGGAGCGGATGATTATTAGGAGAATGATTATTACATAAGGACAGTAGCTGAAAAAGACCTTACATTCTTCTGTTGTGGAAAATTAACAGTCTTGTAGGGATCCTTATTTCCATAAACAATATATTTTTCTGATTATCCTCTTTCCACCTGAGGTCTTTCTCAGACATAAAGACCTATTTCACAGGCGCATGCTCCTGTGCTACCTCTCATGTTATCATATATTCTTTACTCTGAGCCAGGTCTTTTTCTAGTGAATCATTCTTTATTTTTACTACAAGAAGTATTGATTGCGTCATATAACTAGGCCATTTACATTTTCTTAGGGCATATGAGAATGTGTAGCCTTTAGTCCTGTAAGACTATGAAAATCTGTTCAGGGAGAATTTTTTGTGGGTCCGTTGCTTAAAAGGACAATTTTGCATTTTTTTTTTCCTAGACTGTTTATACCATGGCTCAGTTTCCCTTCCCACAGTTGGCAGAATTAAGGGAGAAATACACATACAACATTACTCCTTTCCCTGCTGCAGTAAAATCAACTTCACTTTCCGGGTAAGTTTGAACTGCACTGTTTATAGCATATAGGGTCATTATTTATCTCAGGTAGATAGTGGCAGATGGCATCTTCCCTTATATGCACCTGAAGATGAAGCTGTTTGCTGGTGATCATATTTAAGAATGTCTTTCTTTCCTATTTCCCTTATGTTCTCATTTGACAGGCGGCTCGGCAGAACCAGAGACAGCGATGAGGAGAATGACCCAGATGACGAAGACTCTATCGCCAATGCAATTGGCTGTCTTGGACCATTAAGTGGGTTTTTGGTACCAGAGCTCCAGAAGTACCAAAAACAGATCAAAGGTAAAGGCGCTTCAGTTGATTTTGAAAAATCTAGTTAGATCTGTATGACCTTGCAGAAATCATCTGTAGCTTCAACTGTGAAAGCTGCTATGAAGATTATATTTTAAATTCACATAGAGATTACAACAGATGTCACATGGCTTGCTCTGCAGTCCGCAAAGATGCCTTCCAAGCTTAGCTTGAAGGCTGTATTGTAGAGTAAATTGGGTAAAAATTTGCCTTAGTAATGTTTAGAAAACCAACCCCACAATGTTCCCCAGTCACAAAAAAGAAGCAAGCATATAACAAAAACCCCTACCTGTTGCTAATTTCCAAGACAGCTGTTAGGTAGTTAGCATCTTCTGAAGAGTGTATATTTAATAAATATCCTTGACTTTTATTAGCATATGCTTGAATAGTATTGGAACCTATCAGTGGTGAAACAGCAACTGAATTCTGCAGGCCGCCTCACCTTGCTTTTGGCCAAACCTTCAGACTGTTGTGTATTCTGGGTGTGTCAAATTTCTTTTTTATTTTTTAAATTGTGTACGGTTTAAGGTGTTCTGACAAAATGTTACCATTTTTTCACATCCTTCCACATTGAAAGAAAGTTTCTGGCAGAATTGTACATTCAACTGTGCAAGCTCAGTAAGCAGAGTAAAATTCTGATACATTTGAGAAAAGTAGATTGTTTGCTAACTCGCATCAGTGTCTGTGAAATAGTGACTTTGGAGACTGATTTTATCATGCCCTGGGGGAGGATTCTTACTCAACAGCTTCTCTCACAGGTGCAGCACTTTCAGAGAAGGGCTTACAAGAAAAGATAGATTTTTACGTGTCTCTCACAGGTAGCTGGTAATATTGCTTGCTTTCAGTGATGTTCAGGGTAAGGGCAGCATTGTTCATTGGATCTTCAGAGGCTCTGCCTGCAAACAGAATAGCTGTAGTTAGAAAAAGGCAGATGGATGTTAGCAGTCACTGTTACCTGGTTACGCATCATCGTTCTCGTGGCTTGGTTTTGCCGAGACCTATAACCTACATGCTGGAATTCTCCTCTTGATGTTGTGATGTTTTGTTTTCCCTTCCTGAGGGACTCTGCCTGCTGCTTCAAGCTAGCACTTAGAACATCAAGCTGCTATTGCAAACTAAGCCAAAGACAAACAAACATTCCTTGAAAAAGAATTACCCCTTGACCCTGGAGTGCCAGTTTGGTGGTGCACCAAAGACAGCTGTGAAAATAAATTACACTGCCTCTGTTGCTCTGCAGCTGTTGGATCAGAGAAGCCTCCTCCTCAGCTGCTCTGCACCCATCCTTTCCGTTGCCACTAGCAGCTTTGTCCCTATGGAGCCATTATTGCCTCTTCTTACTCTCACTCAGTTTCACTAGGTCAGTTTTTAACCCCGTGCCTGCTTGACTGTAATGTATTTTATAACTTGGAGTGGTAGCCTCTTCTTTGACCACCTGAGAGTCTCTAATAATTTTTGAATTACTTTAGGGAAGGCTGGCGTATTTTCAGGTGATTTATAAAGTGAATTTCCACACTCTCCATTGTTAGGTTAACTGGTTTTGTACTCTCTTTAAAAATATTTATATGAAAATATTTAATATAATAATATAAAGAAATAGAATACTTTTTATTAAAATATGACAGCTGTGTTAAATTTGCACGTTATAATAGCAGCTGATTTCATCAAAAGGCTATAGGTAAATAAGACAGCAGAAATCAGGCATGCACTTCCCTTGCAGGTAATCGGAGGAACTCATGAGTGTGCTGATGTATTCCTCATCTTCATTTTATTCCCACTTTATGCAGACCAGAATGAAGAGCAAAGTCTGGGCTCCAGTAATATTGCAGAACTAAGTCCAGGAGCAATAGACTCTTGCCGAAGTGAATATCATGCTGCTTTTAACAGCATGATGATGGAGCGTATGACCACTGATATTAATGCACTGAAAAAGCAATATTCCAGGATAAAGAAGAAGCAGCAACAGCAAGTTCACCATGTGTATATCAGAGCAGGTAATATATTAAAACATGCTTTACTTACTGATTTTTTACAAGCTGACTTCATGATAGGAGACAAGGCAAATAATGTTCTTTAACATTTAACCAAATAGAGAAAGCAAAAGAGGATAGCCTATACAACACATTTGTAATAAAGTGGATGCCACTTCATACACACAAATTGTAAATGAAAAGGTGATGTTTTTGTTTTTCTTTTGTCAGGATCTGAAGGTGACGACCCTGGGATCTTTTTGGGTCCCAGGGACCAGCTGAACAATGGTATTTAAAGATGTATTTGCTATCTGGGTACATTGCGTTGATCTCTCTGATTAAAAAATTTAAATCTTTGGCGTTCTTGGAGTTGACATACTGATGCATTGTAAAAAGTGAAATGAGTACCCTTTAGATCAAGGAGCAGGTAGATTCCTAGCTGGTACATATCATCCTAACTCTCCTGAGTTCATCAGGGCATGGCAGATTACAGAGCTGGCTCCAATTTCCTGTTGCAGCTAACAGTCTATCTAGCTCTAATAACACTGGTGTGAGAATTGAGGTGGAGATCAGTTCATGTTGCAGTCTGTGTTACAAAGTCTACTTCCACAGCTGGCAAACTGGGCAACACCAGGGTTAGCATGAGCAGAGGAGCTGAAGATTTTAACAGGTGTGCAAGCTGAAAACAGCCCACCCCACTCGTTCCTTCCCACTTACGAGTCATCTTACCAAGTCAGCATGGAACCCTGCAGATGGATCACTGCAGAGAAGTTTATTCCTCTCCTAGATTTGCTAAACCCATCCTACCTGGAGCATTTGAGTCCATGCAGCTGCAACTTTTCATGAACGCTAAGTTTATTTATAAGGAGTTTTTTTTCAATAGTGGCAAGGTGTCTGCTTTGAACAAAGGCAGTAGCCATGCTGAAATAGTGCAAAGAGTGAGATGTTGACTCCTAAGGATTGCCAAAAAACCTTTCTAATTTACTAATCATGATTAATGGCCAAGTTTGTGGTTTAATCAAACTGTCACCTAATTCTGAGTCTATTGCTGTGGTTTAATCAGAGGACCTAATGGAAATGAGCTGGTGTGGTTTCACCCATTTGAAAATACATTGGCTCATTCTTCAGACCAGCAGGCCTCATGGAGAGGCTTATGTGACTGACCTCATGTAGGGACTGAATGGCTTCTTACAGCTGGAAGAGAAATAAAGGAGAGGGAAGATCCAAGGCTAGTATTAACGTTAAACTTTTGGTTACAGCAAGTATACCATTAACAGCAAAAAAACTTGTGCAGGATTATACCTAATGCAAGGATTGCACTGCAATGGATATGCAAGTGCGTTGTGTGACTACCCAGTTTCCTGTTGTGCTCGCTCTTGCAATTCCAAAAATTGCAGAGCTGTTTTTTGATACCCTTTATTTTCATAGCATGTCTGGCTCAGGACTTACCCATGGGTGAGAAGCAGCGAGGGAGACAGGAAAACTTTATCGCACAAGTTTCAGCTTTGTGTTTGACTCCAAGATGTAAGAGCAATTCAGTGATTTTACTAGAGTCAGTCCTACAGACCTTTGCTATACCTCAGGAAAGGCATCAAAATAGTCTTTGGTGGCAGATTCTTAGAACAGTAATTTGTTTTGATCTTAACAACACTATGTTTCTTTCAAACACTTTCTTTCAGACAAAGGGCCAGTTACCAGCCTTCTCCCTTCTCAGGTAAACTACTCCCCGGTGATAAACCACCTTCTTTTAGGAAAGAAGATGAAGTCGAATAACAGGTCTCTCAAGAATGCTGTCATTCACATCCCAAGTCACGCTACAGGGAAAATGTCTCCCATTCCCCAAGAAGATCTTAAAACCAAACTGAACTCTCCATGGCGCACTCACATACGAGTTCATCGAAAGAATATTGCTAGGGCCAAAGGCCAGCTGGGCTATGGGGATACCGTTGGACTGATAGATGAGCAGAGTGAGAGCTGTAAAACAAATAGTCCTGGTGCCAAGGAGGAGACTTCCTCACATTCTGATTTTGGAGAAAGAGAAGGTGGTGGTTTGGATGACAGGACTCCCCAAAAAGCTGATAGACAGTGTGCTGAGCCGGTCTCTAAGGACACCAACGCAAACATGTCAGTGGTTCAGCTGAAACTAGAAGCACTGGAACTCGCCTCAGATAGCAAAGCTGATGCTGAGTCAACATCCAGTCAGTCTTGCCAAACACGTTTATCTGAGTCCTCTGCTTCATCCAGTGACAGTGGAAACCTGGGTAAATCTCCCCAGCCCGGTAACCCGAAGTTGCAAGTCTTCAACCCTTTTCCCAGTGTCAAGCCTCTTCGAAAGTCAGCCACAGCCAGGAATTTAGGGCTGTATGGCCCCACTGAAAGAACGCCAACTGTACACTTTCCACAAATGAGTAGAAGTTTCAGTAAGTCTGTCAGTGGCAACAGTGGGACCAGGAAACGGTGACGTACTACCTGGTACTTCCTATTTCTGACAGAAACAAAAAAATGTGTTTTTTTTTTTTTTCATGTATGCGTGTATATTTGTGTCCCAAAGAGTTTCTAAACTTTAATTAAAGTAATGGGGACAAAAGTGGTTACCAGAGGTATAAATGTATGTCTTTGAAAGTTGTGTCCCTGTGTGGTATGGAATAGATTAGAGAAGACGCACTCTGGCACCCTATTGTAGATTCTGATGGTTCCGTGGTAAAATAAACATTGATTTACAGTGTGAAGCATACTGTTTCTTTAAATCTAATCCAGATGTAAAACTGCCAGCTGCCTTTAACCTTTCAGCCCCCCATGGCTACCTCCTGTCTCTGTCAAAGCTCTAAGGACAAATTGCCCATCTGTTGCAGTAAAACCTATCCAAAAAGCACTTTTTATGGCTGTTGTGCAGCTTCTTTATTAGACCTCGTCATCATGCTCTGTGAGTAGCTGGAGAAGCCACAACTAACGGAAGCACAAGCGGCCCTAGCAATTGAAAGTATCACTTTCAGTGTCGAATATTACCACTCACCTACTGGGCCATCTGGCTTTGGACATTCTTGAACAGCATTTCATGCTTTTCTTCCCATGGCAGTCCTCTGATGATATTGTAGTTTATAAATGTAGTCAGCAAGCATAAAAATAACAGACTGTGAGAATAAGTCTGCCCACAACACTGGCTTGCTATTTTTCTATTACATATAACTGCTGGAGAGTTTCAGCACTGCTAAATTAGGTATATATGTATATTTGTTTGAGCATTATGACACATTCTGGTTACAGTGGACTTAAAAGCTAGTATCTAGATAACAGCCATTTTTATAATTAATTAAATATTTGCCTGCTTGGCAGTATGTAAAATATATGAATGTTCCGAAGTAGTTTAGGATTTTCAACCCTATAAATAGACCCTATAAGTGGCACTTTGGATGCCACTTATCATTAAAAGTCAGCATATCAGCCACTGTATAAATGGATTGGATCCACTGGACTGCCATGGGTTCCCTCACTTGGTTCTAGTTTGTTGTGAAACAGCGCTGGCTAAGCTATAAGCTGAATTTCTACTTCTGACTGAATCCCTTTTTTAAATTTCTCATTACGTTTTCTCAGAAGCCTATGTTTTTGATATGTGTCTTACTTAGAAGTTCTTCAAAGCTGGTTAACATCATAAGACAAATAACAGATTTTTTTTCTATATATATTAAAACAGGCAGGCAGAGGCACTAAATGTGGGTAGTTCAACTTCAGGATTACAAACTCAAGCACTCAAATTCCAGAAATTCAGGTTGCTCTTAAAATACTATAGCTCTGCCATATAGTACATACTGACTGTGGTTCTTTACCTTATTACTGACAAGTTTACCGTGATGCAAAACTGCCGAGACACTAATCTGGAAAAAAAGCAGTACTGATGAATCAGTCCCACTGTATGTAATATCTCCTTTTTTTTTTTCTTTGGTTAAATTTACAAGTTAATATATCATCTATTTATTAATTTGTGCCATAAAATCTATAGGATGTGACATCAGTTTTACTGTATGCCATAAATTATAAGCTGTACAATATACCCTGTTTATTGTTGTGGGGACAACTTTATTTTATTATTGTGTTTTATACAAGTGTATGGATATAAAATAATATACAAGTATGAACATTATAAATTTGAAACACATGTAGATCAGATCTTGCCCCTGCCTTATTTTCAGATCACAGTAGTGTTGTCAGTAATGATTATTCGTAGCAATGAGTAAATTTAAAATAATGTAGAATTTAGTCACTGATTATGGAGCGTGTAAGAGTCGTTTCTACTTTGATTCAGAGGAAATGCACTTCTTTTCAAAATTTCATTGTGAATCAATCTCCTTGTTTTTACCTAGCGTTAGTGTACTGTGCACCTGTATACTGAACCAGTGAAAATAAAAGGACTGTCATTCTGAAAAAAGCTGATAAAATGTCACAAGTGCATGAATTTCCAACACATTAAGATGTGATTACATAATGAAAAGTTAGCAAGCTCTGCACAGATACTGGTCTGGGGAAAGAAATGCTGATAAAATAGTAATCCTAGAGATTTAGACCTACTCAGTATCAATGAGTACGCTCTGAAGGGCCTGTACTTGGACTGTTCAGACTGAGGAGAAGGAGTCACAGCAACTCTGCATTAGTTTGCTATGGGAAAATTTCTTTTCTCTAAGACAACATTCAATGTTCTTGTCTCCCCTAACTAGAATTACCTCAGTTGCTCAATAACCCAGATATTCCCCATAAGACCAAAGAAATGTGTCTGCTCAACATACAGTAAAAGCAACTTCATCACTTGATACTGAGGAGAGATGTTCAGAAGAGGTCCAGGAAACTCCATAGAAGTTTCTAATTAATTTTTTGCTAGAGAATCTTTTTGGCAAATGAGGTGTGGGGATGCAGCAGAGTTTGGAAGAGTGGCTTTGCAACTCTGAGGACCTTGGGAACTGTAGTGGTAGGAATCTCCCTTGTATAAACCTCTGCATTTTGTTCTCCCTGAGGCCTCCACAGGACCAAATGAATGTGGTGGTGTTTGTTTTTTTAAGCTCCTGCAGTCTATTCAGGAGAAACTACTTCATTAGGGTCAGACTGATGTTTGTTTATGAGAATGCTTTTCCACATCATCAAATAGAAGCTCTCCAGGGACGGGCATTTGATTCTGTTGCAAGGATACTTACAGTCCTGCAAGTGGAAACAGGTCTGAAGCTATTCTGAGATTATTCAATGTTGCCTATACTTTTTTTTGATAGAAGAAATCAGTTTTTCAGAATTGCAGGCAGCAAATAGTTGATTTCATCCACAAGTGCAGCTAGAGAAACTATAATTTTGTATCCTTATCAAAAATCTTACTAGAATGCGTCCAAATTAATATAAATGTTTGCTAGAAAGGCAACAAAAGGTTATTTTAAGCTGAAATAAAATACAGCCTTTACAATTGTATTTCCATTTCAGGTAAAAGTTCAAGCTGAAAATTTTAAAGAGACTTTTAATCTGATTGGAACTTTTATAAAATGCACTTTACGTCGCATGAAATTATTTACATAGAAATAATGTAGGTGGTTTCACCATTTTGTAGTTTTACTTCACCTTTTGGCAATGAGTTACCTAGTGCCCATCCACAGACAATAGTCACCTGACTAAGTGGCAAGGAGCCAAAGTCATCATCTGACATGAGCTCCACTGACAGCCACTGAAGCATGAAGAGATGAAAATTCGTCTTAATGGGACACATCCCTTGTCAATGCTTTGTTCACTCCAGTTTTGCTCACTTTTTTTTTGGAGAAAGATGTGTTCAAAGTGGTGGCTCTGCATGGAGCCCTGTGAGTGCTTTGAGATCTGCAGACTAGCACCTCTAGCCCATGTGTTGTCAGCCAGCAGGAACTGGTTTTGTGACTGGTTCCTCAAACACCCAGAAACTGCTCTACTTTGACACCTCTGCTTTCGCCCTGCTTGGTGACAGTTTGGCATCCTTGGGATGATGTACATGTCTGGGAGGGTCATGGGTGGGAAAGGTGGATTCAACACAGCGTCAGAGTGCACGTGGGGTGTTGTGGCTACCTCCCCCCTCCCCGCAAAGAGCAGAGCCTTTATGGTTTGCATTAGCTGGAATTTGAGATATCTTAAAAGTGGTGAATGAAAGCTACAGCAGGAAAATCTGCCTGCTCAGCTCTGATGAGGAGCTCAATTATTTTTTGTGAAGCACTTGGGCCAACATAAAGTATTTAACAAGATTTAAGACACAGAATTGGAGGTCATTTGAGTTTGCAGTGTAAGATCATTTCAGGCTAGTCAGTGACTGGACCCAGACTCCCTCAGCACGCAAGATGCAGTTTCTGATACGCTTAATCCAACACACAACGCAAGGCAGCATTGGCTCACCACAAGTTTAAAGAAAAACCAAAAACTGTTCCAAGTCTTTCTCTGATAAAACCATATCAAACCGTATTGTCTTACTACAAATCAGCAGGAAGTAGTGCTGTGGGAGGAAATATATGTGAATGGCAAGGTTGGGAGGAGGGTAGGAGCACCTGTGGGTGTTTTGGGGAAGGGAGCTCAAAAGGTGCAAGGAATTTTAAGGGAAAACAAGCTTCTCCTGTCTGTTCTTCTTTTAGATTGTTTTTTTAATAAACAGCAAATCAAAGGATCAGATGGTCAGTGTGTGGCTCCCTTTAGGTTGCATTCATTTCAATGCAGGCTCTGAATCTGTATTCAGCAATGAGGAAAATATGCCCTGTATCTCAGTGAGAAAACTATGCAAGAACTGTGCTCTCTCTGCTCTGTTTGGCTGCTTGTACGCTTGCTTCTTCAGTGCATATCTGCAAATAATGAAATAATTGAGATGTATGCCAACTAGTTTATTTAAATATCAACTAGCAGGTAAATATAACTCATAGTGCAAAAAGGAAAATAAAACAAGAAATGGGATATAGATTCCATTGTGCTAAACAGGTCTTGCCTAGTTCCTATGGCTACAGAAGGTCATTTCTTAAATGATAAAAAAAATCTTTTCCAAAATAATTCCCCTACATCCTTGGCAGAAGAAAGGACTTTGTTTTTTCCCTCACTGTCCTGCTTTTTCATCCTTCACGTGCTGAAAGTGACCGTTACTTGGCTGACGTCAGTGGGGAGCTGAATCACGTAATGTAGTTCACCCACTTTGCAGCCCGGTGATCACTCCCAGCAAAAGGGACGTAAAAGGGAGTGAACGCTTGAATCCTAGCCAGGATAAGACCGTAGTTGTTTTGCAGGCACACCTGGCTTTGCTTGGCCTGTGCTGTGAGTCAGATGGGCACAAGCCAACTATGGGGAGAGGCTATAGCTATGCTTATACTGCCCTATAACTAAGCTAATAAGTGCTGCTATCAGGCAGGTACAGGCTATAGCTGGATGGAGGTGGCCAAGTAACCATGGGCAAAGCTTGTTGTGCTATCTACAGCTCTGCAATGCAGAGCTAGCTTCTCCAGGCAGCTCAGCCCAAAGACTTTGCAAGCTTGTGTCCACTCAGAGCACAGTTTATATCCGTTTGCACAGGATTTTGTGAACATATGCACCACATATGCACTGTAGTACTTGGGATTTGATCCTCTGCATCCGTTTTGTCAGCAGCAGGCACTGCCAGGCTGGTAAATGGCTGCTGTGTGATCTGTTGCCATCTCCCTCCTTTCTCTCAAGGGCACATACATTTTTTCCTTATCATTTGTTGTCTTTCTGACATCTGTTAAGATTG